TATATTGCTCGAGAACTTGCTCATGATTGTCTGGCAACATTGTGCTGACACTGAGAGTTTCAGCGAGGATTTGGCCGACGCCGTGGAGACTGGAATTGAGGCGCGACAAGCTAAGGCCAGCAAGAAGAAAGCACGCGGCAGGTCCAGAGGTGCAGAAGACGTGGATGCAGATGCTCGAGCCGCACTTGAAATGTCGAGCATGAGACTCAAATGGCTTGCCAATGCCATTCAGGCCAGCGCGGAGCAAAGCCAAGATAGCGAGATGATTGACGACGAATGAGCTGGCTCACCAAATGCTACGTGTCAAAACGACGAATACAGAGCAGAATGATCTTTTCGTGTGCGATTTCCTATGGGAGGTAGGAACCAAAAGCAGGGAGTCGCTGCGAAAGATAACGACTTACGATCTGGCATGAATAATGTTTTCCTAGACACACAAGGTGGGCAGAGATACCCTGGCGTTGCTTTGAGTTGCAATATACAATTTCTCTAGTTACTAAGAAGCTGACTTGGACCACGTATAACTTGCGCGCTTTGTATTGACTTTACAATGGTTGTGCACATGGCAGCGCTGAAGACGGGTCGAGTTCCATGACAAGTAACATACTGGATTCAGATGGACAACCCAACCCTCGACTGCTCGCGCTGCTGCACCCAACTTACAAACGGGATGTTAGAAAAGACACATACCGGTGCAACAAACTATCCGGTCTAATTATTTGCACCTGCTCTGCCGGCAGTTGATTAGCAACACATACATGCTGTAAGTCAGTAAACGGGGCCGGTCATATCAGGTGGCCAATTAATAAGGTCGGGAAATAGAATGCCCTCAGCTTTGGCTTCGGAGGATGGACCAACCTCTGTCTAACAGATCAACGTCAGCCCGTCTCCGTCTCGGCCGTATTTTGTATAAAGGATGCTGCCAAACGTGCATACATAAAGAATTACATTGACGTCACAGTTACACGGTGCTCCAAGAACTTCCCCCAATTTATCATGTCGCATAATATCTTGATTACTGGTGGCTCAGGCTACCTCGGCGGCAGCTTGCTCGCGCGATGGCAAGAAGCGAAATTACCCCCGTACAAGAAGTTATTCGCACTTGTGCGCACGCCTGAACAGGCCGAGGCTGTGAAACAGTATGGTGCTGAGCCACTTTTGTTCAATGCCTGGGATGAAGCCGCTGTGCGCGATGCGGTGCTGGAGAATGAGCTTAGTGTCGTGTTTCATTTGATTAGTCCAAGTGGTACGGAGTCCCAGGTTTACTTCATCAAGGCTATGGCGGAGTTAAAGCAGAAAACGGGGGTTGATGTTCATTTTTTGCATGTAAGTTGTTCGTGGTGCGATTGAGGTGGATGGGAGAGGGAGTATTGGCTAACTGGTGTAGACTACTGGTGCAAAGATCTTTGCGTCCCATGCGGGTGCGCCGACAGATAAGCCGTTGCTTGACGACGATCCGAAGTTGTATGATATTCAGAAAGCGCAGAAAGCGCCTTTTGAGTGGATGCAACAGGTTGGGTTCCCGGTCTTTTTGTTGCTGATGCTGCTACCATGGCTAACTGGTAACTAGGCCGTTGATACCAATAATATCGTTATTGAGGAGGCAGAGAAGTATGGCGTTCGGAGTTATATCTTTGCACCATGTATTGTGTGTAAGTTGCAAGCATCAGTCAATAATGTCTATCGTATCACACTATAGGAGCTAATGGCAAGCTACAGACGGCAAGGGAGAAGGATTCGGCAATGTCATCTCGATCCAAACAGTCGCCATTGTCAAGGCAGCAAAAGGTGTGAAGCGCGTATATCGCACCGATACGGATCGACCTGTGAGTCAATGATGGACCTTGTTGTGGTTTGTTGGAACTGACATATATCTCATGGAGACATGGCCTGTTTGTCATGTGTCCGATAACACCACGCTCTATCTCTCCCTCATGCGCAGTATCCTTGCTGGCGAGAACCCAAGCAATGGAAAAAGCGGTTATTACCTAGCGTCTCCAGGAAATGTCGCAGTAAGGGTTTTTAGTAAGGTACTGGTCATAATATGATCCTAACGTGATTCATCTCTAGTGGGACGACTTATACGCAGAGATGGCAAAAGCTCTGGCCAAGCGTGGTGTCGTTACCGACGAGAGCGTGCATAACGCAAACGATGAAGATTTGGAAGCCATGGGTAAGGTCCTTGGTTGCCCAGCGCCTCTAGTCACTGTCCATATTGGGGGAAAGTAAGTAGTTCCCTCGTCCAGTCAAGCAGGCATGGTGATGCGTTGCTAAAATTATATTGTAGCTGCACATTCACCGCAGTGAGAGGGCCGAAAGAACTAAATTGGAAGCCTGTTCACCCTCCTGAACATATCCTCGAGACCGCCGATGAGGAGGTTCAACTTATCCTGGACAACCTTAACGCCTAGGACGAATGCGCCCGGACGGCCATCAACAGGTTGTCGCCTCGGTATCGTGCCAATTTCAGAGGGAAGTGTGTGTGGCTGCCCTGTAGTCAGTCATCATCAATAGCGAGATATCAAGGACATTAGTCCAGTGACGCAAGTGCAGGAAAGAATTAGGCAATTACTCCACGATGCGCAAGCACACAATCCAAGCACAGAGTGTATATTGAGTATCTGGTGAATCTGAAACATTCTGATTAGTGTTGAGGATGGAGGCATTTCTTCTGCTGCAGTGTGAAGACAAAGTCTCGTAGGGAATGAAACACCTTCTTAACCGTGGCGGTTAAGGAAGGTGTGCTTAATAGACAGTAAGAAGCGGTATATCATAACAAGGCTCAGTCGTCTCGCAATTTGCTCTTCTTTTGCCGCTTACGTATTGCCGTGGCCTTTCGCCTTTCATATGCCTTAGAAAATTGAAGTTTGCGTACTGTCAGAGCACGCAACGTCGGGTAGGCTGCGCAGCAATGAGTATCGTATATCAAAGCCCCTCGGAAGTCGTGTGACATGCGGAAAAGAATGTGTTGCTTCCGTGATTATCTGTCACTTCCAGAAAACATAACGATGCAACATAGCAAAACGCAATGGCGATGACTCACACAGCCTCCACAAAACAAGTAAAGATCAGTGATTTCGAGTGGGATCGAACTATGAGTCAGACTCGTCCGATCGCGAAATATGAAGATTCAGAAGTAATGAATGAGTATATATATATATGTATGTATAAATATATCCACACATCGTCACTATTCGCATTATTTGACTTGGTAACCGCGAATGACATCCTACAGTATGGAGGTAACCAGCTTCCTCGCCAACAATTGGCGCTCCGAGCGCTTGGTCTATCAGCCGCCAGAAAACGATGAAGAGACAAAGAACTTCATTCACACAAACATCAGCATGGATGCAGTTGGCTTGGCTTTGAGTGAGATCAGGGTGATACGACCGCAAGCCAAGACGCACAGCGAGGAGCTCATCTCCTCTCTCAACAGAGCTGAGTTAGGTGTCCTCATATGTCTACCTAATGAAGACGCGAAACCCACGCCTATTGGATTCATTGGTGTTGGATGGGGTGGCAGGTCTGCGGCTACAGCTCAAAATCGCACAACATCCATCGGCATCGCTTTAGCGGCTCCTTACCAGAACAAAGGCTATGGAGGCGAAGCCATCAATTGGGCTCTAGACGTAAGATGTATTTCCCAAGAGTGTCTTTTCCTACGTGCGCGAGAAGTTTGCGAGACGTCTCTTTTCCAAGTCAGCATCGCGCGTAGATGGTCTCCAAGCTGATTCAAACGGTGTAGTGGGCGTTCAGACTTGGTGGTTATCATCGTGTTGAGATCGGGACCGTTTCCTATAACGAGCGAGCCATGCACCTCTACCAACGACTTGGGTTTGTTGAAGAGGGCCGCCAGCGCGACTCTCTCTATTTTGACCGTCAGTGGCATGATAGAATGACCTATGGCATGCTGGAATCAGAGTGGGCCGCATTGAGAGGCATGAAGTAGACCGAAGTGCTGCAGGCATGGATGATGCACTGCGGTGTTGATCCGCCAAAAAAAGGTATTGCCTTGCCAGAAGCCAATTACTGGTGGTGCTGTTCCATCCGGTTATACAGATAGCGTGTCGCAGGTACTTCACCGGTCAAGTGATTCAGTGCAATGAATCCACATGAATGTCTACATCCCCATCCAGAAGTACGACTATTCTTGCCGGAGTCCCATTCCTGTCTCCGCGTCCAAGTTGGGCACATCATTGAGCCTGGCAATTGCAGCCTCTGCCGCTATAGTTATGTCGGTAAGGAAAGTGACCTACTAGGCTTCCTTCGGTATACTGCCAATCCGTTGGCAGCCATGTGCGGTAAAGGTATGCTCTTGCCAACATATTGAATCGGCCTGCCTCCTTCCTAACGACCTGGTGGCGGCAAAGGGACCGGCCCGCAGCCACGTGCTAACTCTATTCAAATCACGTGATAAGTTCCATGTCTTCTGTAAGCAATAGATTTCATCGTAACGAACATCGTGAATACGGCTCTGAACATACGATCGGTAAAGTGTTGTGAGGGCTTCTGATTAGGTAGGACGGACGATGCATTCGTACTTAGTGATTGGGCCGTGTATGTGGGCGGCGCCCATATGAACCTTAGCTCCCCACTAAAGTGCGATATTTTGTCGACGTGAACATATTGGTACTTCGCCATAAGAAAATTAATAAAAATATTTCCAGTTGATATATCAATTTTTTTTAGATGCTCCTAAGCCTTCTGATGCGAAATTGAGAAATAGAAGACAGCCTCAAATGCGCAGAAGAGGCAAACTACGCTTCCATCTCAAGTATGCTCTCTTCCTTGGTCAGACTACCTAGAATTCCCCAAGGCTTAGTCCATTTGCCTACCAATGAGTGAGCTTGGGCTTAGGTTTGTGCCTAGCTAGTTAGCGGACCCACAGAAAAAATGCCGCGAGTCAGTATACCGCTCAGCCGCCCAAAGTTCTCCTCATGGCTCTACAAGTAAGCTGCTGTCCCGCCACGTCTCCAACAGTCCAACAGCTTAAAAGTTCGGCCTCTATGGCGCAGTGGTTAACGTGTGTCACTTGTAGCACATGCAAGTAATGACAAGATCCCTCGTTCGATTCGGGGTGGAGGCAATTCGCCAGTTGGCTTTTTTGGATTTTTTCCAATTTTCTGAACTTGGGCTCATCAATCACCAGTATATCTGTTTCCAACCTGGCCACTGCACACAGACTGCCCAAACGGCATTGCTAAGGCTCTATGATTGTTCACATAAGGGTTCTGGTTGTCACAGTCCTGCTCTAATGCGTGATGGCTCTATGGTGCTTGTATGGGCTAGGGCCGCCGGCAGAATGTTTTTTCTGGCGGGGTAGTCTTATTAGTCACTTGGCTTAGGTATGGCACTATAAGGTGTGGTGCTGACGGGATTTCTGTGCTTGCTTTCTGCTCAAGATTCAATAGTTGATTGTATTTCCAGATCATTGAAAGATCAAAAAGTAGTATGGTACGGTACGTGGGAGCCACCATACTTGATTGGGCAGACTTTCTGGTGACAGAAAGAAACATACAAACATCATGGTCAGGGCGATCGTTATTGGTTGTAGGTTCATGCCAAAAGCCTGGGTAAACCTGCACGTTACCGGTACCATTCAACGTGGTATCGCGGACTCCTTGGATACGCCTCAGAATTTCTAACGCGACCCGTTATTGTCTGCTAAGCATTCTCTTTAATCATATATCATTGAATAGGGTAAAAACAAATCATTATTTTCTGTTGCTGAAGCATGCCTCCGTCCTGGATCGAGCGAGAGACCTTTGCATTACAGCATAGTATTGCAGCTCTCGTATGTCTTATGAATCTACATATTGCTCACTGAGATCAAGGATTAGGTTTTGAATGACAAGAGGCCATTCAAGAATAGTTGAGCTCACATGTGTGTTCTTACTGATTAAGACTCGAGAGTGGAAGTGAGGCTTCTGCCTCCATGATACAGAACGCCCAAATCGGTCTGTCGACTAATAATTGAATTGCGTCAGGATTTTGACAGAAGCGGTGTTTGCAGGCAGTCCCGTGTCTGCCGCGGGCTGCACCATGCCACATATCGCTCGCCACAGCAATGTCAACGGGTATTTCATTAGACTTGAAGTATAATTATACGCGCATACAGCTCTAATTCTGGAACAATGTTGCACCTGCAAAGTCCTCGCCCGGTTTTTCTCGGCGCGATCAAGCTGATGGAGATCTTGGAAACATCCTGGCGCGAGCCTGCCTTAGTGACCGGTGGCAGGTCAACACTAGCCACCTCTCGGGATTGTCAATGTACAACGACGTCAGCTACCTTGCAATCTTGATCAATCCCTCAACTGGTTCTGGGAAATCAAGTTTCGCATCGTCGGAAGACATCCAATGACGTGAATGAACCCGCCCGTTGAACACGTTCTTGATATCCGATATGCCAGCATGCTATCACTGAGGATCTTCGGTCGCAGTCGGGGTTGCAGCCAGTATATGACCTCCGAGGTTGCCAGTCCCGACGCGCGGTTGGCTATGTTCAATTGAGATTGCAGGCATCACCACGTGTTTGCTTTTGAAGTAAATCGGTGCGGGTTGTTTTGGTTCTTGCGCCCTTCACTATCCCATCGAACGCATTCATTTCTGTTGCTTGGAATAGTCCTCCAAATTCTGTCAATATGTCTGACACTGAGACGAAACCCGCGCCCTACGCAGAGAGCGTGAGCCTCTCAGAAGAAAGCTCTGTCTCACCATCTCGTTCACCTAACCGCCGTCGCCGAGGTCGCAAAAACAGAGGTCAACACCAGGCAATGCAGCGAATGGAGGATCCAGACCAGCGGATGTATCAACAACAACAACAGATGCAGATGCAAATGCAACAACAGCAACAGCAACAACAGATGATGCAGCAACAGCAAGGTGGCGGCGATGACGGTGGTGATACCTTGAAGCTGCGACTTGATCTCAACATCGAGGTTGAAGTCACACTCAAGGCTAGACTCCATGGTGACCTAACCTTGTCCTTATTGTAAGCAATCACATTCGGACTATGCCTGGGCAGAGCTGACTAGTCCAATTGCAGGGATACCTAAACAATATGAGCATACCACTGAACCGGCACGAGAATGTAGCTGGTTGTCATGAGTAGCATTCTCCTGGGGGTAAAGAAATTAGAAGCTACTGGTCGGAAAACCGGAACATTGGATAGTCACGAATATTGCATCGCTCTTTAGGCCAAAGCTCTCTACCGAGCCGGACTCTTGCATTTGAATTATTCATACTCATGTACTTAATCCTTTATAACGACGTAACGAACATCGCGAGAGCCAGTGAGCGGCGAATACTGAAGTCATTTTACTCTTTAACGAACATGAGCTCTGACTCTTTGAATTGAAGGGAGTGATATAATACGCGACGGGATATCACATATCAAAAATGTGAAAACAGTGTAGCCTACATTACATTTTCGTATATGTTTCTACGGCTTGCGATTGTGCATCTCGCTATCACCACAAGCACCTTGCTATACGGAATAATAGCATCGTCCGGTTGAACCAAAATACTGTTCCGTTTACAAACCTTATCTCACGGGTGAGAGATGATTGATCATGAAAGCTTTTGGCAGTACTAGAGACGCTCCTGTAGAAGTAGTAATAAGGGTATCACTTTCTAACTACCGAATAATCTGGCGAATAACGCTGGTATATACACATCCCTAAGCCCCTGTATCAAGCTCCAATGAGCGTACCGTATTACGATTCTTGAGGAATCCGAATAGGTGAGCCATTACGTGACGTATCTCCTAATAACTGTAACATGACGCTCACGTGATATGTTGTCATTTTGCTGATTCCGGCTTGTCCATCGTGATGTTTTTGTCCTCTTCGCACGCGGGGGGATAATTCTAATTCGTTTCAGAGGTGTCTGATGCGGCAAACGTCTATAAATGCATCATGACCTGTGAGATGACGCCGTCTTAAACAGTTCGTTAAAGCGCAAAAGGTATATTTCATCAGTTCCAAATAGTGTGAAGAGGTTATAATATCTTTTCGCGCCCAGTCAACCTAAGGGACGCCTTACATCACACGTGCTTATCCTAACGTCCCGGTACGTTGCCAATGAAGTTTGCAGAAGATGGTTTGGAATCGACTATATAGCAGTGTACAACACATCAGTAGTATATATACTGTATGATTGAATAAGTTGTCCGAGCATGACTTGAAGTCTTGTTAAGCACCTCAGTGTATAATGAACGCATGAACTAAGTAAATACCGTTTGAACTCAGAAGTTCGTCATATTTTGAGCTCGTATATTGATTAGGTCCTCTGTATGGTTGTTTTGGACACGATAAGGGCCGATGGCATCGACCGGCAGGTGCCTACTAGGATGCACCTACTTTACTAGATCGGCGAGAGCTTGGTCTACTGCTCGCCAATGGGCTGATGTGCTTGCCGTTTTTGGCTTGCCTTCTGATTCTTGTTGAATACCTAATACTTACTCATTGTGTGGAACGAGTACTCTCCGGATAATCACCGCCCTATCGATCTGGGTAGATACTAAAGAAGTCGTTGGAATCGATATTCTGGACACCGGCAGGGTTGACAGGAGAGGCAATAGTATTTACTGACTCTTCTGATATGTTTCGTACATCAGATTGGACGTAGTCGGATGGAATGAGTGGTGATTCTCAGACGGCAGCTGACTTGAATTAAAAGTGTTTACCAAATGATCGTCGAGGGCGAGATTGGATTGTTAGAGTAATGTTGGATAAGCTGAAGTCGTGACAATCGAAGACGGTCCTGGTTGCAGTTTGAAGGAGACTTGGGGTCGTGGAGTGTACACAGAGACAACAAGTGAGTTATGGTACATAGGTAGCTAGCTAGTACCTAGGAGTACTCACACAACTTGATAAGAGGTCAAGAAAATATATAGGTACATGTACGTATGGGTATTGTGCGTTCCTGCTTTGATACCTCAGCAACAACCCTACTGACAGGTAAGTCGCGACCCACCTGTACAAGTGGTTTCCAGCCTTGCTATTCTCTCAATCAGTTGACTTGACATATGGGTCTGTTCGCATAATCTCAACTCAAGTCGAACTCGTAAACACTCACACACCTCACCACCTCACCACCTCACTACCACAACACCCGCCACAAAACCACACCCCTGTGACAGAAGATCTCATACCCACCCATCACCACAGTTCACCACCTCCACAACTCTGCAACGATCAACATGTCTAAGAAGCGCGCAAATGACGAAAGCGCTTCTGGTGACGCCAAGAGGGTGAAACATGAGCTGTCCGACTCGCCTGTCACTAAGCCGCTCCCAGAGATCAGCAACGATGACGCACGCGATGCGCTCCTGCGTGCATATTTCTGTGACACAGATGTGCCTGCTACCCTGGTTGAGACCGTTGGCAATGCAGTAAGTCATGACATTTTGAGAGCGTTCCGCGTCCTTGTCCGTAAGTATCTCGCACTCTATACCAGAGCTGGTTGGAAGTCTATCTGACTGGACACAAGAGCTCCATCCTCAAGCCGATCCTCGCAACAGAGAAGGGCTTGTTCCGTCACAGCCACAAATGCTCGCATTTACGACTATCCCATCATCTTCTCTGGCGTCCAAACCTGAGACCACCGAGCACAAACCCCAGACGTCCTCGTCTGGAGCAAATTCCGGCCACAAGTACGGCCATAAAGACTGGTGGAAGAATATCACGCCGCAGCAGAAAGCCAACTTGCCTCCCGATTACGTGGATGCTTTTGACAAAAAGCAGATTCTGCAAGTGAGAAATTTCCATAAGCATCTGAGGAGAGAGGTGGTCGAAGCCGCATTTGCCCAATGTCTCGGTAACGTGGTCTTCAAGGTTTGGTGGCGACATATGCCAGGGTTCAAACCAGCCTGGAACACGGGTTATTGTCATGTTGGCGTTCCAGGTAACCGGAGAGCGGAATGCATGAATGCTCTATTGGGTATTCGTAACAACTCAGTTGTTCGTGAAGGTGCAAGTCTGCAATTATCCAGAGATAAAAGCTATCCATTTGTGAGTCATCCAATCCAGGAGTTCAGTCGAGTCTGACTTTATCGGGACTAACGTTGAGATAGGAGATGGTTGA